TCATAAATGACTATTAAATCCATATTTATTTTAATTATTTGAATTGGACTATCTTATCAAACAAAAATATCCCTTCTTGTAAATTTTGTATATTTGCTAGGTTTTAAATCAATAATTTGGTTTTCGAGAGTAACTTTAATCGAACAAACTACATATCAATCCAGGAAGTCAACTAATACATAATATTCCTTCTATACAATACATGCATTAGTTATTAAGTTATTGGTTTTATTTACCTATAAATGGTATTTATTAATTGAGTGTGTCTTGTTTTTTTTCCTTCGCATAAAATAAAACTTGATCCGACATTAATATTAACGACAATTATAAAAGGTGAATGAATGTTTATTGATTACGTGCTTAGTAGACTAACGTATATCTATTCGTTCAAAAAGAAACGAAACAGATTTATCACTTACCTCAATCACCGAAATGTATTATTTTTTTAAAATAATTTCTTAAAAAATCAATACGATTTTCAACTCATTTAAAGGTTTTTGTCGATATTATGTTCTCTGAGCTAGATGGTTTAATTGTAAAGCATCGAAAAATGAAAATTTGAACTTGCTTTTAACTCGGGGTTCAGAGGAGAAGAGCAAATGAATTAAACGACTTCACTGTAACCACGTCACCTAATGTCTCCAACAACTGATTACGAGTATGGTATGGGCTTCTACCAGGAAGTATATTACTCAGAGAACCACTTACTGACTTCATGGATTTATGCCATGTCAAGATCTGTTCATCTCTAACCATAAAGGTAGTTAGGGAACGGTAAAACATCATAACCGCTATGATCTATGGACGATATCTTTAATAATAGACTTACATAGCATCGTGCACTTACCTCACTATTACTTAGTGGTTTCACTATTTGTGAGAAATGCATCGAAGACACCTAGAATCAAATACTTACAACCTAATGACGTCTTATTTCATAGTCCATTTTTCGAAGCTACAAAGTAATAAAGAGCATACTATTAGGTAGTGAGTCCTAATTAGTCCTTAGCTTGTGGATAGACATCTAGACTGAACCGTTTGTTAACAGAAGCTAGAAAAGCTTTTTTTATTCCTGTAGAGATATGGGCAAAAGCCTACTTACTGTGACTAATAACGCATCCGAGCTAAGTGAAGTGATCAACGCACTAAACCATTCCACTCTCTATGGTCATCGATTTTCAACTCTATCCATATTACAAGATACTCTGAACAAACAGCATTCTTGAGACGGGGTAAACAAATGAAAATGTGGAACTTTGGAAGTTATTCCCTGCAAAATAATTATATACATATCTGCTAAGATGGCGATTTAAATGCTCTTTTCTGTTTTATAATGTAAAGTGACAATACTAGTTAGTGTGAAATTTCTACTCTATACTCTCAACAGTAAAATAAGTTTGATTTTCATGCGATAATATACCAGAATTTTTCAAAATTTGTTTGTAATGGATACTTATAGTATGAATATAAGAAGTATTTATAATAAGGTAAACATGAAAAAAAACATAGTTACGATACTATTAATACTTACCTTTATTTTCATTAACTATTTCTCAGTAAAAGTGATAGTGAAGTGAAGAATTGATTCGTATGTTGTTTGTACAATACAAATAACCTGAGATATACGCTTCAACTTATATAATAAAAGCGTCAATACAAATGTGGAGATAAATACTACATTTTATAAAGCAACAGTTGATTGATAAGGCACCGGAATGGCTGGATGTATAATTTCCTCACAAATTTGATCTCTAATCTAACATTTTACAGTTGTCCTTTGTGTACAAAGAACTCAACCTAGACGATATAAACTATAGTGACAAGTAAATTTAATAACTTGTAACCACAATCGAATACCAAATCTTCTCTTTGTTGTTTAGTGTTGTAAATTTGATATCTATTGTTTATTCTTATCACTTGTAAATCAGTTGGTACTTCCCTTACTTTTTCAACGTAAAAATAAATGCTTACTTATATTATTCTCTGTTCTGCTTTATTGGCCCTGGGATCTGATTGAAGAATATAATATTGTTGTGTACGCATTAGACCACTTTTTACTAGGTGGGACTATTGGCATGAATTATTTCCGAAAAATACGATTGCATTTTAAGTTTTCTTCACATTTTTCGCGCGAATACGCAGATGAATGTTTACGAATTGTGTGAACTCTACTTTGGGGACTACTCAAATGTAACTTTCAAGCAACATTTACCATATGACATTTACTATTATTATGCCGTTCTATGTATATGATTTTAAATCAGTCGGTCCTTATAATAAATCTTGTTTCGATTGTCATTTTTACAGCATTTTCTATTTGCATACTACTATTCAGTTTTGCGTACTATTATTTGTATTTCTTAATATCATATCTTGATTAGATTCTCATTCGGGTCACTTCAACTATAAGATAGCAAATAATTCTTTCAGTATGAAAATAAACTTCATAAAGCAACCAATGAAACATCACTTCTAAACGTCTTACTGTTATGACATTGATTTTATAAAAAAAATCCAACTAACTATTCTGCTTTGTTTCTTTTCACTATTTGAATTAGTGTTAATTTTAATTCCTTTATTTATTAATTTTGTCCCTGCACAAGCAAATTAAACTACGTTGTGAAACTTCAGAAATTAAAAGTTAATCCATTGTGATAGTACAAATATTTTATTAATAAAATTCTAACTAATGCTCAATTTATCTGAAACGATCAATTCGAATCTAAGTGTTGATATTCACATTTATTGTACATATTTCCCAGTTTTTTTGTTTATTCATGATGATATCAGTTAATTAATACTGATGTAGTACTAGAAAATTTAAATATCTGAATTGAATGTGAGACGACTGTCAAAAATCCAACCTCGCTAATTGTATTATGGCTTTGAATAAAATTCTTAAGTAACTGCTTGTTGTCTTATAAATTATTCACAGTCATGTTATATTGATTGTATAGTTGGAATGTAAATTTATTTCGGTTGGTTTGTGGCTCCCATTGGAATACAGAAAAGTAATTTAGTTCTATTTGAGACTTGTTAGTTGAACACTACTGCCAGCCAAAACGCTAATTTATTTAGACTTATGACTCAATGGCAGTATCAAGGTAGTTGGCTTAGGATACATTTACTGATCAACTTCATTCCTGCATAACAAAAACAACGGGAGATAAACTCTTACTGATATATATGTATTCAATATGAAATGGCTTGGATCATTCCGTTTTTAATATTTTTCCAGTGCATATATATATATATATATATATATTCAGTTGAGAATAATTCTGTTGGGATTTTAATGTTTGTTTTGTAATCGTTAACAGATTTCACTACTTCACACTATTATAAATTCAATAAGCGATAATGTCGCTTTGTTGACGAAGTATACTTTAAGAAAATCCAAAGTACTGGAGAAGATTTTTCTGGATTAATCCAAATTAGTTGAGGCTGCTATAGCAATAGTGTGGTCCTTCATGTTTGGATATTATTATCCTTCACACTGTCACTCAATGGTTATCAGTCCCTGTTGGGGTACAATACTATACGCACCATGTTTATGGATTTCTTCCCTTTGTAGAACGAAAGTTTTGCTAGGATTTGGCACACCATGAGGTGGTATAAGTTCATGAAATCATTGACTTTTAGTGTGAGCCGTATAGGTAGGCGCAGATTATCTGGTCCGGGTCCACTCGAATAGTGTAACTGGTGTTTAAATACGTTGAACGACATAGCTTAGGACCGTTTGCGAGTGACACAGATGCGTACACCTTGTTTTTCGCTTGATTCCGGAATTTTCTCATGCTGTTTTTCCCTTTTTACATACCTGATCTTTACTACTAATGATACCATTGACACTACTTTGGGATTTGTTGTGATAATCTCGTTTTGGTAGTGTTGTGACATCAATCGATGCACATGTGTCACTTTCTACACTGCATATTACTGACTGTTAGAAAGTTCCATCATCTCTTCTTGTTTGTTTATGACTATTGTCTCTGAAGTGTTGTCGTGTACCAATTGTTCGATCAACCTATTCTTGCTAGATGTACTATCATACTAAAGAAATCTCACTGATATTTTAAGTCCCAACAATTCATAAGTAAAAAGCAGTATTTGATTCCTACATAATTAGTGTGAATGAATGGTTCTGTTGAATTCTTATCGATGATTTATGTAGAGCTAAACTATAAAACAGTCGATATGTTGTGAGGTTTGTCAAATAACACAAGACAGTTTAATTACTTCGTCGTATACAACTGGAAAAATGTCGGATTGTTTACCCACACTCACCAAGATTAGGAATGGCCAGTACCTATGAATTTATAAGACCGTCACGCTCACATAACTGGGCATACTAATCTTCCTTTTGGCCTGTTGAATATAATTTTGGTCCTTCCAATGAACTTTTCAGCTGGTATCCCTTTCGATAGGAATTATGTCCAGGCTAATCAATTACACTGAACCGCTAGAATCGAAAATATCCACTAATTTTCGAATGACTTCTTTCTTTCAATTCTTTAAGGACGAATATCGACGTAACTCAATGAAGTCAGTCTTCGTCAATCAAGGTATGCCATAAAGTATAAAAATTGAATAGCTCAACGAATTGTTATGGCAATTATTAATTCTTTTGTATATTATTCATCACCTGATTCAAACTACACAAAACACCTTCAAATGTGCTCACGGATTTCTCTGACTTGAATACTAGTCCATACATTATTACTAGAGTACAAACTTAACAATCCTGGGAATCACTAGTTAACATACCGAATCCGAATACTTCTGTTTATTATTATTATTATGCATGATTAAATATACTGAAGTCAGCGACCAGTAGATTCATTTATTTGAAAACTTTTAGCGCGATCTGAAGTATGATAAACAATTAACTGTCGGTAATATTTAAAAAAATGACTTGAAAAGTCACAGGTGCACCATGAGTTAGTTTACGAGTGATACTTCGCTCATTTAACATTAATAATTCTTTTCTTATTAAGATTTCTTTTACTCTCTGTTGGTACGATTGAATTTTATGAAAACTCATAACGACTTACCAACATACAATGTCATATATATTATTGCTACCTTGTTGGGTAAAAACGATGAAATAGCATTTTAAACAAACAATTTTTCTGGTGTTTAACAGACAAGAAATTACAGTTGTACAACAGAAATAACACGCATATTTAATAGAAAGACAACGGTAAACCTGAATTAGAAAAAAATAACGCAAAATCAATCATTATCATCGCCTAGAAATTGCTGCCGTTTTTTCGCCATTTTCTCCTTTCGTCTCATCATATCACGAATCAGTTCTTCATTATCTTCTAGAGCTGCCAAACGTGCACTACAAAAATCAAGAACATATACTTCTTTTTTAAAAACAAATAAATGAATATATATATATATATATATATATATATATATATATATATATATTCGATTCATAATTCGTTCGCATTCATTTTATGTGCTTGTGGCTAAGTAGTTCGCACTGTACAAAAATAAACTGTAGTCAACGCTTTGAATTATCCTCTGAAATTTATGCACCGTTGGGAGTTATTTTATAACGGTCATAACGACGAGTGATATACAAATTCACTATATACAATCCACTAAAAACCCTTCTATTCTATACATAGTAACAAATGCAGGTGAAGGCGGACAATCTAGCAGAAACCTCAACATTTACAAGAGCAAATGCAAGATCCTGCAATATAATACAACGAGCACTAACCGAATCGCACTTGCCGATAAAGCACTGTAAGAGGTGAAAGATTTCACATTCATGGGTAGTATTATTGACAAACAAGGGAATCTGATGCGGATATGAAGGCACAAAATGATGAAACAACAGTATAATTCCTACAATCAAAGAATATTTGAAACTTGAAAGAACTGTTAGCTAAAACTGAAGTCAGAATTTTCAATGCAAACACTGAAACAGTTCTACTGTACAGGGTTGAGATTCCAAGGACTACTACTACCTACCTACTGCATACCAGTTACTAGTTGAGGAGATTACGAAGAGACTCTAGAGATAAATCAAGCCCCAAGTTAGAATTCTAAGCCGAAACGGAAAGCAAACAAATCAAAGAACATATGGAGCAAGGATTAGGGGAGACATCAGAAAAATGAATAGCACTTGGCAACAACTGGAAAAGAGCAGTACAGAGTTAGTTAGAGATCCCTGGTTGGCAGTCTGTTCCGTGAGGGGTAACAAGTATAAGTGCGATCTGAATAGCTTGTGTACCATCGCACAGTAAGACAATGTCGTTGATATACTCAATATAAAAAGTCTTTCTCCAGGTAACGTGTACACCATAGATATGATAACGATGGCTGATCAAGAATACGTTCGATGGAATAAAATTTGGGTAGTAAGTTTCTGGTTTTTTGATCCTGTGTAATGACGGTCATTACAAATTTATTCATAGTGATTTTAGAGATACGAAGTGATCACAAATTGCATGTACTTGTCGCTAACTCACTAGCTGATAATCTCGATAAAGGAAAAAAACAATGCAAGTTATTGTACGAAGGCGTGTACACTTAAGTGGACATAGTGTTGGGAATACAATGAGTCAACTATAATACGTAAATGAATAAGGTACGGAACAGTTTACAGCGATGAATACTCTGGATATTTATAGAGAATAACTGATGCTCAACCATATAACTTAAATCGATTTTTATCTATTTATTTGAACACATAAATATTGGTACAAGGAGGCACCAGATACATATGCGCCACACAATAATAATGAGAATGGGAAGAGAAAAAGAATGTAGCGTGCGCGTAAAAAGAAAAGAACAATAACGATCACAAATTAACATATGGTAGTGAAATAATAATAATGATGGAAACAGAAAGGTACAACCAGAAAGAAGTTACGGTCACTTTTTACGAAGAAAGTAAAGGAAGGTTACAGCAGAATCACCACTGGCTTCTATTCTGAGCCATATCTGATAACGTCTCTAGCCACTGTGTTGCACCATCTCTAAGACCCCAGTCAGGGAGTCGTGAAGGACCAACACAAGCCAGTCCTTTCCAGCTTTCTTTCATACCACGACATCATGTCATACACTGACCACCTTCCCGCTTTTTCCAACCACTCCCGGCGTCGGCAAATAATGCACGACGAGGAATTCTCTGGGACGACATTCGTAGAACATGTCCAAGCCACCGAAGTCGATGTTTCAAGATAGTGACACCGATTGGATTATCGTCTCTGCGCCCGAACACACGGTTAGTGGTAATCAAAGTAATACCTGACATGTGCAGCGGTCCAAGTTGCCGTACATCAGCAGTGATATGGGGTTATTAAGATGAATACCAAATTAGTCGTAGCATCAAGCATAGTAAATAAGAATAGCCATTTTAAACATGACTCCAATAAATTCGTGGAATAAAAGGTATAAAGTCTCCAATACCGTGAGTAGCATTTAAGAATACTTTTTCATGAAGCACCTCAAAAGAAAACCAGGTTATCAGTGGTTTTAAATAACTGAGAGGGAAATCATAGAGCCCAAGCGGCAAATAATTTAGGCTTGTCACAAACAACCTTTCTGTATATTTTTTTGACATGTTTACTCTCTGTCCCTAGCTTGCTGCTTTTGACTTTGCCACCGTTCAACCTAACCACCTGCCACGGTACGACCTTAGGTAGAAAGTGTTTCAGCCAATATGCTTCCGTAGGTTCACCATTATAGCTAAGCGTGACAACTAAGTGAAGGTGGAGGCCCTAAGCTTCGAGCCAAAGCAGTCAGCAATAAGTAAAATAGTACATGCTTTCTGACCAATCATTTTCTCAAACTTTGGTCTTTATTCTGAAAACCCGTAGCCATCACCTCTGTCGGTAAATCTATAGAAAATGGTAACGATATGAGTTCATGAGGGATATATGTGACTGCTATCAGAAATGTTGTTAACTTTGTTTGCTTATAACTATGGAATACAAACTACTTTACGCAAAAACACTACACAGGTAACAGCTTACCTCCGACGTTCTTCTTTTTCTATATCACAGTACTTCGCCTCCATACAACGTAGATCTTCATACGGATTGACATCCTTGTACTTCCGGGGATCAAACTTCAGAGCACGATGAATGTCACGAACGACTCGGGCGTACTCCTTTGATTGCAGTACTTCACTATCATCTATGAAACTATCATCACTCATATATTCATCCTCTTCAGCAGAATCAGAAACAGACATGTTGGCGCTATTTTGGGACTGAAAGCTAACGCCTAACTGTGCAGCTATACCTCTTCCTTGGGTTCTGTTATCGACATTCTTAGACTGAGGATATTCTTTCGATTTTTGTTTAATGCTATTACTATTCTTGTTAAGGTTCTTGATACCGTCCTTAGTTGACGTAGGGATACTTTTAGATAAAGGAAATTTTACATTACCGAAATTTTGGGAAACTGACGTTTTGGGAGGTTGCGCAACTACTGATTTCTTTTTATTGCTCATGTTAATAGAAACCAACTTTGAATTGATGAGGTTTTTAGGTGGTGGTCTACTTCCTTTGGGGAGATGAACTTTCGATGTCTTGGGTGGCTTTGAGGATTTCGCGTTGATCTCTTGTAGCGTTGCAGAATGGCTTACACAGGTAGTACGTTGACTAGAGTTATTATTCTTCTGGTGCAAATCATAGGGAACCCGGTGGCTTTTTTCAAGATGTTGAACAACTTTTTCCATTACACTTTTGTGGCCAGTTTTACCAAAGCCGTTCGAATCAACAGAATGCGAAAGCTTTGGTAACTCTACCTCTTGAGAAGCCTTCAAAGATTCTGATAAGTTTGATGCTAACTGTGACTTAGTTTTAGTAACGTCTCTTGAAGTGGTACTTGCAGGCTTAGAACTATCAATGAAATTAGAGTCTAACTTTCGATATTTCGAATCAACAGCACAAGGGATAAGATCATCAAACGGTCTTTTTCTATCTGAAGTTTGGTGAACATTTTTTTTAGCCAGTTCCATCATTTCTGCGAAAGAAAGGCGGTTGGGCTTTGACTGCATTTCGCCATTTTTCTTGGAGTTAGACTTTGTGGGGCATGATAAACGGTGCTTTGTAATGACTTATTGGCTGCTTTAACGTTTTCATCTTTTGCATCTTTATAGACTGTTGATTTCTCAGGTTTGCACACTGTACTTGTGTCTGGACCGGATGTTTTAGATCTTACTGTGGAAGCCTTGACTGTGGTTGTTGAAGAAAGAGACGTACTAGCGTTACTATGATTCTGGACCTTTACATTATTGTTGGTTATAAGGTTAGGTTTTGTAAACTTGCGGTTCAATTTGTTCGCAATCTCCAGTTGCCTTTTCTTCTCAAGTTCACGTTGTTTTGCCTGTTCTTCGATACGTTTAACCTTAAAATTACAAAATGAATAGGGCGAGGGCTACCTCATCATCATGTTTAGACTGCTTTTTCTTTGCCAAAGCCAACACCTCTCGAAAATCCATCAAACGCAGCGCGTACCTGTTTGACCCTGAAGTGCTTAATGAAAAGACAATTCGGATGTCAAACCTTATTGACTGAATGTATCTTAGTATGCCTTTCAATATAAGCCTCAAACATTTTCTTTTCCATCAAGAGTAAAGTTGAAAGAAGACGTATTATTTTAACTGGTAAATTTTATTTACCAGAAAAAGGTAACTGTTCGTCCTGTATAATGTGACTATTGGTGTTAGCAGAGTACTCTTGGTGATGAAAAGGTATGGCTTTTATTGTAATCCGCACAGAAATTAACGATCAGTAAACTAGTTAGATGTTTCATGTGGACATGAACGAGACGCTATGGATTACCGACGCAACCAGCAGGGGTATAGGTACATGAAATAATCAAAGTAAAAGAGGTATCAGTAAACCGTTATCACTAACTGTCACATACCCCTAAACAATCATCAAGTTTTCTCTTGAAAGATCCCTCAGTGGGTGCTCTGACCACCATAATCAATGGGCAGTTGCATGACTTCAATACACTCAAGGAATAAAAATTGTGCATCCAGTCCAGCTTATCATATTGTAGCCCTAATCTTCAACTACTTCTATCACAGATCGAAATGAAACCGACCTAAACTTGGTATTTTAGGGGATATCTAGTGGTTTTTAGCTTACTGAATGTCATTACAAGGTCGTTTCTGAGTCGCCTTTATCCTAAATCATAAAGATCAAGTGTTTTAGGGCGTTTCGCGTAAGACTTCCGTTTGAGTCCATGAACTGATTTCGTGACCCACCTTTGCACATGCTCCAAACCATTTTTATTCTTTAGAAGTGAATGAGGAAACACTATATTTCCATGCTCTGAATGTACTCGAATAAAGCTGTTAAGAGTTTAGCAACGGTCCAAATATCAAATCGGTCGAAATTCGCTTCAAGTTTTATTATTCCGTGTTGGCCTTAAGGTCATTTTGGTCATAATTGTCATTCTGTTCAGTTACACATTGGAAGAGGAGTGGTTCCAAGATGATTTAAAGAATGCTGTATAAAATATGCATAATAATTTTACATTGGTTTTGAAGATGTAATACCAAGCTAATAAGCAGTTACGAATAAAACATTCGTTTTCAAATATTTTGCAATCAGTTTTGTTAACTTTTAAATTTTTGCTGCAGAAGTTCGAGTTTGTTTTTGTAGGGTGCTCAGATGAATCAGTGGAGTTCAACTGATATTCCCAAACTTAGTTAAGAAGATCACTGTCAGATGACTTTTGCATGTTTCTGGGTGAACTTTAATAAAACCCTCTCGTGTATGCATTTTGTGAAACGGTAACCTAATGCCTTCCTTTTAATACAAACTTACCATTCTTACTCAACCCTCTTATAAGGTTTGCACCACTTATTTCGAATATTCTTTCAGTCTCTGGTCCTTTGTGTATTATGTGATTTCTTAATAATATATTTCTGCGAGGTAAACATTATTTTTACAGACGTGATCTGCAAATTACAACATTTATTGGCTCACAGTATGCTTTACAAGTAGGGTCGTTATTTAGATATAATCAATAAAATTGATTAACAGTACTTTCGTGCAGATGACTTGGACCGTCAATGATTAGATTTATGATTTAGTATTACACCGAGTACTGTCTCCAAAACATTTTCCGAGGTGGTATCTCGTGCACATTACACACCAGATCCAGTCTCGGCATGACTGTGTTAGAATTCTGGTCGTGCTAAGTATTTATGCAATGCAACGTTTTATGTTTATAATTTTTATATAATAGATTTGTAGAGAGCTTGTTGTGGACTATGACGTTGAGAAAACGCGTACATCATGTTTGCTACAGACGTCAGAAGTTCCATAGCTGTGCCCTCAGAGCAAGATTTTGAAAAAGAGAAACAAAGGAGCAGCAAGGTACTTGCTTAACATTTTGTAATGGGACAGATAGAGGAATGATAAATGATTAGACCAAATTCATACTAGCTCTAGTTGCTACAGTGAAATTGGATCGGTAGTAGTATAGATTCCAAATCAGAGTGTAGGCATTTGGAAGGGTGTAATGTAGGATATTTATTAACCAAAGTAGGCGGAGAAGTATAGAAATATATGGGTTATTGATAAGGTGAAATGCGGAAAATTAAAATTAGTGATAGGTAAACATAGTGTACAGGAGGGTAAAATGCTGATGAAGAATATACAAGAAGGCACTCCCGTTAACTGTGTGCTGATGTTATTTTGTGCTATGCTAACCAGTTGATGTTTAACAGGATCCGTAGATGCAAGACCGCTGGTAGCAGGCAGCCGATTGTGCAGTTCTCTTGACTTTTTAGAGTAGTGGTGAGCGTCCCTTAGCGACCGAGCTCACTTGAGTAGTATGGATAGGCTCAGTGAGTTACCTGTCTACTTCAAGTGAGAAATTAGGGGGAAAATGTATCTACTACAACTGCAAAGTAGGAAAACTAGGTAAACTGAAGTTGGAGTCCAGTTTGGTTTCTACATGTAGCGAGCCTATGATGTCTGAGTGGGACGCAGATGTGTTCGTTCGTGCTAGATCAGTGCAAGCGAGTGCTTGATCAAGAAGTCATAAAAACGTATGCAGTCCATCTGTCATGCGTATTTCAGAGAGAAGACTGTTCCATATTATTGCATGGTTGATGAGGAAGAAGCTTTCTCGAGTTTATGATTGGTATTTCTCAACTTTGACTGTTGATACTTTATCTCGAAGTTCGTATTCATGTGAGTCTTGGGCAAGAACGATATAACGTGTGGAATGAGTATGGCTTTTGCGGAGTTTGAAGTAGATAATCAAATTAAACATAAACCTTCCTTTCCAAAGTTGTTCTAGTCCTAATTTTTGGCATCAAGAACTGTATTCAGTGAGTGAATCGATCTTAAGTATTTTACAGGTAAAATGTCGTTATATTCCTTCCACATTAAGTATATTGGATAGGCGTGGGTTGGCAAATAAGAACAAACATTATTTAATAATAGGACTTTCACACACTTCATAAAGAATAATTTTAGATTCGTTCTGAATGAAGTTACAAAGAACGAAATCAACCAGTTTCCTCAATCCAGATGCTTTGGTTGAGATATGTTCAGAGAAGTTAAAACCATGTGAGTAATATACTCTCAGGTCAGTTACTGATGTGAGTTTGGGCAGTTCGTTCTTGTTGATTGTTAGTTTTATTTTAAGAGACGTGTCTCCAATACATAGTCAGCCACATTTCTCCGGCGCCTGCACTAGTTGTCTAGCTTGTTCAGTTCGTGTTGGATTGTATGCATAGTAGCAAGTACATCGCAAATGTCAGTTTTATAGATGACTCTTAGGTCATCAGGTAGGCTTACCTGTGCTAAAGCACTTGCATACATTGTTGACGTACATTGTAAAGAGAAAGGGACCGAAGACGCTGCTGTAGTGTGGCGTCTAGTCGCGGTTGACCATGATCACCAATACAGGAAGACTATATGCCAGTTAGTCGATAAGATCCCTCGTAGGCCAAATATCAGAAGGCAGTTGATGGCTGGGGTCGAGATGTATTTGTTGGCAATCTTGTGGTATCTAAAGAATACCGAGATCGTGCCAAGTTACAAGTGGAGTTACTGAGCGTGACCAAATTCGAGCAAGGTCATAATCAACGGAAGAATGTATGTGTTTTGGTACAGTTAATCAAATGAGTACGGTAAACAATTTCTGGTACAATTGGTTATAATAATAATTGTTTCCATTAAACCAGTCGCGTTCTCTTGATAAAAGTAGGTCATCAAACTACTCTGCACAACACCACTGGTTACTGATCGAGATGTAGACGTTCTTGATTTCATTTTGGTTATTTGGTTTATGTTCGTGTGAAAAGACTTGATCCATTGCAATAGGGGGTTTGTAATTTCAACTGAATGAAGTCTGTTGATTAGAAGATTACGAGGTACTTTATCAAAGACTTTCTGAATATCAAATTATGGTATAACTACTAGTTTCTTTTGGTCACATGTGCCAGTAACCTCGTAAACGAATTCTGTCAGACATGTACTGCAGGACCTTATTTTAATGAAGCTGTGTTGTGACGGGTCCATTAGATCTTTCTTAAGTAAGTGATCTGATAGTTGATTTTGTATTACTTCTTATGTTATGCGTGATATAAATGGAGTGATATTGATAGGTCTGTAGTTTTCGACCAGGTTTCTCTCTCCTGATTTGTGATTGAGGACAACATATGTTACCTTCCAGGTTTCGGGATATGTACCTGCCTCTAAAGATAATGTGAATGTTTTGGATAATAGCGTCTGTATGTCTGGTCCTGACGCTTTATAAAGAATTAATTCGATGTCATCAGCACCAGAACTCGCATTCGGCTTAAGGGTTTCGATGGCAGTATGCATACTCCTAATATCAAAGTTAATGGTATTAAGATAATTTTTGCTGATGCACTTTATGCTGATGTCTGGGGCATAAAATGTATTCCCATTGTAAGAAAGTCACTCACTCTGACTGCCTTAGATTTGTTTTGCCCATTCATTGTACTTCAGTACCTGTCACAATGAGTGACTGTATTTATGATTGTTGTAACTATGAGGGATTCCGTGTGTTTACATGTTTATAAGCTTGTTAGACCCCTCAACTACGTGCAATTCATAAATCATCGTTTCTTTGTTTTTCCCTTTTCCTTAAACTTCTTTTATTGCCCTCGATATTTACATATTTTTGTCTGTATTATGATTTGCAAATATTATGACTTGGACATGAAATACCCCTCAACATCTATTCTATCTGAACATGTTATCTCTTCGGCTTCTCAAGCGAAAGAACTCAAGGGATTTATTCGTGGGAAATCTGGCACTTGTGAATGAAAAGTTGTTTAGTGTGAAATTTTCATATGACCCTAGTTAGAACAATATCTCCATTTTACTGATGGTTTTTCAAGGATGACAAACTGATGGTTGCTTAAGAAGATGTTCGTCTTTCAATAATCTTTCACGCAATGGCTCGGTAGTTTTTCTGTCTCGCACTTATCCTCTGTAAGCAAACTCCGCTGCGTCTTCCATAGTAACAACACTTAACAATGGTCGCTGTAAAGTTCTGTCAGTTTGTCTGTAATCCCTAAAATCGTTTTATCGAACGACGACATAGTAATCTGTGATGTTTGAATGGACTAATGATACCTTGGTACTGGTTGAATGCTTGATTTCGAATTCTAAATACAATACATTCGTTGGTGCCTGTGTCTTCTTAATTCAATTGCGTTAATCCTGGAATTCCTCATTCATACGACAATTGGAATACCATATAGGCGTCGCGATGGAGCCTGCAATGGAAAAGTTAGATATTCATTCAACTCCTGAAGCTTTTGAGGATTATTTGGAAAGGTTCGAAATCTGGAGCATGACCAAGGAAGATGATGAGGATGTTAATATTGTGGCATACTTCCTCACATTCATTGGGAGAGAAGCGTACAGCTTATTAAAAACTTTAGCATATCCAGAAAAACCTATCTCACTCCCTTATGCAACTCTTAAAGAGCTATTATTAAGTCATGTAAAATGCACCAGTTTTGAATGCCGTGAAAGGGCGAAGTTTCATAAGATGATTCGTCAAAATGACCAAAAGGCTCGGGAATTCATCCTTGAATTACAGAAACAAGCTGCCAAGTGTAATTTCGGTGATCAACTTCATGTGCAACTGAGAGATCGATTAATTGCAGGAATTAACATACCGAGTTTGGAAAGAAAGCTGTTAAAAATGCCAAACTGTTCCTTTCAAGATGCTAGAACTGCGTGTATTAACTACGAAGCAGTGAATGAACTTGATATCCAGTCGATGAAGATTTCTGTTACTTTGCTTAGTCGTCATGATGAACTACAATCTCAGGGTCAATCAAATTTGCGTTCATTTAACAGTGATTCCTATTCTCGTGTAAATATGAAAGGTGTTTCAACGAGGAATTACAAAGCAAATCACAAAGGTGAGATGAAGTTTGGTAAATGTTTATCATGTGGAAAGTTTCATGCTCGCAATCCATGTGTATTTCGTAATGCTAAATGTTTTAAATGTGGTAAGGTAGGACACATTCAGTCAGTATGCAAAGCTACTGTCCATTTTGCTTCAAGCTGTACTAAATCTTGTAATTTAAATTTAAATAATTCGGATGTTTCTAATGATCATTTATCTTTATCAACGATTTCAAAAGACAGTGCAGAGTCATATGACAGTTCAGAGTTAGATGAAATCCAGAATTCTTGTGAGACAACAGTTCCTAATCAACCGATTTATCAGAATTCTCATGCTATTGTACCAGGTATGACTTTTCCTAATGATTCACATATTTCTAATGAAATTACTTGCAATATTGAGGAAAATATGTTAAATGAACCTAATCATGATCGGAAACCTGATGTGGTTTGGATAGATGCTGGTTTTTCTAACGATCCTACGCTCTGCAATGACAGTCCTAATGAATTTCATGAGAATATTTCAGAAGAATCAAATCCTGATGTCATATCATATATTACCTCTCCTCATAATGCATTTGATCCTTGTGAAAAACCTGCTCAATGCGAAGCACGAGTACTAAGTGACCTCGAGTTTGATTACATTTCGGATGATTTCATATCAACTGCTGTTTACCCTTATCACAAAAACAGTTCTAATGTTTACTCTAAACAATGTGAGAAATATGTTTTAAATGAAGCCACATTATTCATAACTTGGGGATATAAAGATCCAACATTATTTCGTGGGGGAGGATAGGGTTGAAAAATCTATGGTTCGAATTCTAGATATTAATGATTTCAGTACAAAACCGATATGCTGATTGTATACAATTCCAGGTGAGTCTGTTCCGATTTCGTTTGTTAATTCCAATACTAATGAGCACTTTCTAGATACTACAAAGTTTTTATCTTATACAATGTCGGACAGACTCAGGATGAACTTAACAAGAAGACGTACAACCGATTACAAACACTTATACTTCTATTTAAGCTGTGGCGGATGTGGTGTTTGAATGGACTAATGATACCTTTGTACTGGTTGAATGCTTGATTTCGAATTCTAAATACAATACATTCGTTGGTGCCTGTGTCTTCTTAATTCAATTGCGTTAATCCTGGAATTCCTCATTCATACGACAATTAGGATACCATATAATCTCATCAGTGTTGGTTTTCCGAAAATCCATGTTGACACCTTTTGATGATATTGTTCTCGATCGATGTTTTCACCTCTAAACAGTATAATGTACTGGTCAAAGCAATGTTCATCCTAGCATATTCGACAACGCCTATGAATGCTAAGTGCTTCTTCAGCATTCACCGAGAGCCCAGTGAGCTTATGAAACAGCAACTTCGATCAACAGCGTTACTCCCTCACGTATTATAATAAGTAGCTGTCCAAATCTCAAGTGTCACCATCTTGAGGCATATTGGTCCGTCGGATTTCTACTATCTTAGTAGGAAGGTTATCAACAATGTACACCCTGTTATACTTTATTCGGTTAGCCCTATATAATCATTCAAGCTTAAAACCAATGAGTACCGATATAAACACAGGACGTTCCACTGATGGGGGGTACCTTTAACTGGGCGGCTGTTCCAAGTGTTCTCACCTGCTTTGCTACATCACCTAATTGTAGCATCGTATCGTACACCCTATCTAATAAAGCATACTTATCCACTCATTCCGTAGGTTCACGTAATTGAAGAGGTAAAAATCAGAAGCAAGCTCCGGTTTAGTAAATGTGACTGAATAAGTGTGCTTAATCACAGGCTCTGTATTATGGTAAGCTAGTGATGCCGTTGTTTATGACAACCAATATGGCACGTCATGGATAGTGAACAACCTGTCGCTAGGTGATCAGGCTTTAAACAATGAAAACACAAATTGACCCTCTTCAGTATATCTTCCCACAACTTGTGATCCTCTGTCAACATCCATGCACTGGACGAGGACACATGAACACCAGAATGGACTTGATAATGGCTGTTATTAAGGCTCGACAGTGCATGGTACTTAGCTCGGATCGACGTGGATTAGTTACATACTGATTTTGTCTGAGATGTGAAGCTTCTACTTGCGAGTCGCCCCCTCTAAGTATTTGTGGTAAGTCACGCTACGTTTTTCAGAAACTCCGATAAGTCGTGGAATTCTGGCTTTTACCCTTACTTCAAGATGTTGTCTAACCGGCTCTAACAATCCCACTTATATCTTTCGTGATATTTCCATCAACATCTGTTTTATGTTGGCAGAATAATTTACCTTCACATCTCGAGAAACGCCCTAAAAACGTGATCTTTACAACTTAGGATGTAGACGACTCAGAGACGAGATTAACCTCACCGTTATTTGAGTCATTTTAGATCTTGTAATGTACATTTGTTATGTTGCATCATGTTATTTAGTCCGTTCATTGAACCAGAATCAGCTGACTTAAGCGCGCTTTACGTGTGTTTCCATTCAATGATGGGGAGTTCTTTTAGACCAGTGGACTATTTGTCGCATAATATTCACCATGTTTCTTCTCAACACGTAAATATCACTCGAAGTGTTTTCTAATTCTTTTATATAGGATAATATGCAGAACACGCTTGGTAAACATAGACGGATGCATTCAGAGGGGTCTGCCTGTATCACCTCATCTTCCTGTGATCCTCTGATCTCAAATCAAACAGATTCAGATTGGATGCCACAGTCTGCTGTCAGGAGGCGAAAGTTGCCGAAGTTTTGCCTGCCCAGCGATTCTTCAAACCATATGGCCACCAACGCATATACACCACAACCGTCTTGGGATCTAAATTCGTCTGTTACAGACTTGCAGTCACTAACTGTTCCTAAAACGAATCACTCTCCCTTGTGCGCACATCGTCGATCTGCTAGTTATGGTGGAGATTACTTTACGTTCGCAGCTCATGAGATTGGAGAGGCTGCTAGTAGGGCTGTAGAACAAGCAGAAGAGTTGGTTATTCACCTTTGGAAAAAAGGGTGGAGAGTAGTTCATCACCATAGCTTACCACACTGGTTAAAAGACAACGATTATCTCCTCCGGGGTCACCGTCCGCAACTCCCATCATTTCGTGAATGCTTCCGTTCTATCTTCCGACTTCATACGGAAACAGGAAATATTTGGACACATCTCATTGGTAAATCGTCAATAATTTGTGTGTTAATATTTGCATCCATCTTATTCCACTTTGACTCCAACTTACGAAACATATCTTGTCGATACATACCTATTACGTTTGTATTGATTGTCTGTGCTGTTACTTTTCTCGGTCTTCATCGTAACCTTGACGAACTGTGAGCACTATTGATAACTCGTAACACGCCTCACTGGATGTTTTTTTAGAGAAATATCATAATGGTGTTATTAAGACCTGTATAGATTTTGCATTAGGTAGAGGTCCCTGTAAGTCTTAATTTTTTGACTTCTAGTTCATAAAAAGTCCACATATTTCAGATATATGCTGAGACCTCAACGTGTAGGTTCTCTGGCATAAATACAACTTGGGCATCATTATTGCTTTGATGGCATTGTGTGGTGTTTGCGTTCTACGTTCCCATGTTAATGGGTGTAAAACATCTTGGATTTTTTGTTACTGCTCTTATGTTTCAGTCTACAGGATAAGTCCGAAAGTGTAGTTTTTGACTGAGAGCCATTTACATTTCCGTAGTGAAAGTATTATATTTGTCACCGTGTAATAACTTGTGGAATTTCATTCCGTTTTTACTTTATCGTCTCGGTGATTGCATTGCGTTTCCGCCTCAAACTGTCACACTATTAGAAAACTCAAATTCAGAGGTCTTCTTTTCGTAAGATGTATATCTTTTCTTTTAGATAGATCAAACTGGTTTTAACTGTTTAATATATTAAGATTACTAAATAGTGGCTTCACATAATCCAAGTGACCAAATATATATTCATTATTTTGAAGTCAACAAACAAAAAGCTCTAAAATACTTCCAAACAATAGCTAGATCCCAATTATGTTTAAAAACTTCAGACAATTTATACATATGTGAGAACATTTCATTTCATTGATGGCAGTCCTTCAATAAGCTAAGTGACATATCACCTTTAGCATTACCTTATTAGATTCTAAGTGTGGACTGTTTTGTGTTTGCTATTATTAAGTTTTAGGTTATTTTCTAGTATTTACGTCACTGTTTGATTAGTCTCTGATCTCAGTAATCACTGATTAAACAGATATATCATTCTTTCATTTGCTAATATTTAGGTCGTATTTAATAGTAATCAGTAAAGCCGACATTTTGTTCCATATATTTTAAAACTCAAAGTCTTAATGATAATACCTGTCGGAAATATGTAAATATTTGTGATATTCACAATATATCCATTCTGTGTGGTTTTTGCATCTGCATTTTTGTCCATTGGGGGGTTTTAACACATCAACTCAACTTCCTGACACGTGTCATCTAATTTTCCGACTTTTTTGTAGGTTTCGTTTGTTTCCTGGTCTTGAGTATCTCATTTCTAGTTCATCCGGGTTTAAATATACATTGGCAAGAGAAAATGGTTGTTCAGGTATTTTTTACAAGCGCCATCCTTGCACTTGGTTTTTCATGGTTGTTTCACACAGTTTATTGCCATTCAGAGCGTGTTGGTAAATTATTCAACAAGTGAGTATTCTATAATCATTTCCAGTATAGATCGTTGCTTTATTCCGGTAACTTGATATTTATTTGTTGAGATCTTAAGAAATTCAACATATAGATTTATAAACCTTAAGAATAGTGCAAACTTATTATAACTGCAACAAGCCTTGACCAAAGCTACATACATCTATCATAAATATTTCCCATGTCTTCTGGTAATGACACCCTTTTCGTCTCTTAAAGAAAGTTTATTTTCATGCGATGGATTCTGAGAACGACTCGTCAAGTTTTTTCAAAACATTTCAAACACTTAGCATTATTTCTTCTATATAACTTGCTTAAAATTGTAGAATTAATCTGACCTTATTATCGACTTAACGACTTTTTAAAAAAAAAACGCGACGGGCGTTGCTTACTTCCAGTCTTCAACTCACTCAAATATTTCACTATTCATAGCTCCATATATCTGCTTCAATGTCACATTATTTAGTTTTATTAAGTCTACTACATGTATTCATATTAATTATGAATTTAATTAATGGTAATTATGATAAAGATGAACATCTTTTACGCTTTGTGATTTTACATAAAAACACCTTCAGCAGTTATAACAATATAGCATTTCGAACGTGTTTTAAAACAAGAGTTAATAATGTTCAATGTAATTTTCAAAGAGCCTTTATTTTCTCTGTACAGTCATGAAATTCTAAAGTAGCTAAGGTCAATATTAAAATGTCAAATGTGTAAAACCAAGTAAGTGATAGGAAAAACCAAATATATAACTCAGGAATTTAGTTATAACTGTCAGTTTCTGCGGTTTATCTGTTAATGTTGTGAGTTTTATACATGTATTAAGTTATTCATTAATTTGTGTCAAGTACTGCCAGTTCAGTGTACTGAAATTTGACTGTTGACCAACTAAATGATATATAACAGCGTAATTTGGCTGCAGTTTAGTGGAGATTCCCTTTCGGACACCTAGTAAAAGACAGATAGATGGTGCAACCATGTGATCACCATTGGGTCATTCGCTGACAGACTTTTCTCGCAAAACTAGAAAATAGACAACTTAAAGACACTGTCTATCAACTAACATCTTACTTTCCCTACATAAATGATACTTTCTTAGCAATGGAAAATAAAAATATAAAGAATAGTTTGCCTATTATAATTAATCACGTTCATCCATCTGCTAAGTTCATGCTTGAGGGAAAACAGAATAATAGCACATCATTTTTAGACGTCCGACTTAAGAGATTATATGGAAGATTAGTAAAAAGGATACATAGGAAATTCGCAATCGGACAAGATATTCATTGTTATAGTTCTGTACAAATCATGTATAAAAGAAACCTAGTAAAGACCTGATTCATCGTACCGAAGTGGTTTGCTCTGGTGACGCCTCTAAAGATAAATTGTGTATTATTCTTAACTTTCTTAGTACAAGTAGGTAAATTGAGTAAAAATAAGACCGGAGGTAACAGCTGTTCCAAAGATTTCCCTGTTCTTGAAGTTACGATTCCTAAGTGGTGCTACCAAGGAAACAGTAACGCATAGGTTGAGAAAAGCTACTCATAAAACATTTACTGCAGCCAAACTGAACAATCGTCCAATAATGAGAACCATTACTAAAAATAGATTGCCTGAATTCTGTATATCCATAAGTATTTATTGACTTAACTGCTTATGAGGAGCAAGTTATATGGGACGTACAGTTCGATAAGTCCCTCCTCGTATAGCAGAACGCCATTCGTCTTGGTTTAGCAAAAAACAAGTAAGAGTAATTCAAAGTTCTTTTCTTGTTCACTTGGTGGACACAGGACATCACCGTATGATTTACGGGTTTGTCTTCTACATATTGCTGAAGCTGTCAGAATCTATGTTCACAAACCTAACCTTTGCATTCCAAAAGAAGTTTGTACAACCGCCCTCTCTACCTTAACCACAGATATGTAATCGCATTTTAGCTGAACCTCATTCTTTCAAAAGATATTCGAAAAGTTCTCGAATTTAGTCACTTTTGTTTACTTTTACATCTCAATATCTTTCTCTTGATTCTTACACAGTTACTATAAAACTTAGTTTTTATCGAAAGATTTTTCTAATTCTCTTGTTAAATATTATACAGTCTTGTAGCTGTTTAGTTTAATTTTTTAACGTTTACAAATAATTACTTTCACCATAATAATGCTCTTTCTTCCAATTACTCAATTAATAAATTGATATCATTTTATGATCGCTTTAAAGTTATATAATTATGTTACACGATTATTCAATTAGTATTTTGTTGTTGTTGTTTTAAATCATATATATATATATATATATATATATATATATATATATATATATATATATATATATATATATATTAGTATAGAGCTATGGTGAAAAACTACTTGATACACTTGTCGATCAGTAGTTGGATCAGCTGTGGGATTATTGTTAGTGCATAATATAGTTTTAATCCGTAGTTTAACCCATTCCCTTACATCAACCCATATCAGTCTTTGTTCATAAGTCTTGTTACCAAGGTTAGACTTGATAATTTCAAATAAATTGAGCATCAGGTAAAATGTTATTTATGTTTTGAAGATCTTTTCTCAATTATAAAAATTATCCATACTAGTATTTCTCCAAGTTACAACACAAAATCACTGGAGCACAGCTTCATTCATTTATGCTACCAAGTTTTAGTATTTATTTAGATACATTGTTTTAAATATCTCTCGATTGACTTAAATAAATTAATTCATGTGGTGTTACATCTTACATATCCTCTTTCTCTCTAGATTTAAACGTCTTTTTCTACAAATAGAATATTTAGGCGTATTATTATATGAAAAACGGTATAACTTTAATTGTTTTTTGCAGATTGGACTATGTTGGAATATCATTACTTGTTATCGGGTCATTTATCCCATGGATCCATTATTCTTTCTATTGTTATAATTCATTCAAACTTGTTTATATTTTGGCTGTGCTGATACTTGGTGGATTTTGCGCTTTTGTATGCACGCAAGATTATTTTCTTAGCCCAACGTATCGTGCAGCTAGAGCACGTAAGTTATATGTGCATACCGTATCCGCGATTTAATTGTATAATAGTTAAAATATCAAGTACTGATTGGTTTCAAGCCACTGGAGAAGACTGACAAAACATATGTGGCAGTATTTTGTCACTTTTCTCCGGTGACTTGAAACTGTTAATCGATTCTCGGTTAAATTGTGTGTTACATTTTACTCTGTTTGTCCCAATCGAAATCGAAGGTAAATATGTTATAACGTTATTAGTCAATGTTTGCAATAGAAACTGGAGAAGAGAACAGTTTAATTCAAAGAGATCACTTTCTTTCGTCTCAAACTGTTTCCAATTAATTGGTTTATGAGCTATCTCAGAGTAACGATATTCATCCTAGAAAGGCCTGACAAAATATGATTGGTGCCAGGAATATTTAATTGTTTAATAATCAAGGGAAAATAATGCTAGTGGACTGTAAATATTTGTGACTAAATTAAAAGGCATCTGAATTCAACAATCATCATAAGAAATTAGAACAATTGATGGGAGACTTAAAGAAGTAGGCTAACTTTCGAATAAACTTCCAATTAAAAACTTGATCGTAGAATCGATTTTGGCTTTATAGTCTTCAACGAGATCGAAGAAGTCGCTTAACAGAGTCCAAGACTTAGAATTGAGTTTAATTAACCTATTTATGTCTATTCGTAAAGATTTTTCCTGATTAATAATTGATTGATGGTTTGTATTTGTAAATCGGATTATGTCCTATTCTATTGGTTTCAGTATTTGATTAGATCAGTTCATGATAAAGGAAGTTCTCTTAAGTTCACTAGAAATGAATTAATCAGATTTACTATTATTTCTATGTAACTTTACTTCAATACATTGGTAAAGAGCACAAATATAGCTGCATCTTTGACAGATTACAAAACATTCTATGAAGTCATATCTATGAAATTCTTTAGTTTATTCAATACTCGACTCTTACACACCATGTGCAATGATTTTGATATTTTAACAGCGAGTAATATGTCTACATACTTTAGTTAACTAAATATTGGTTGTCGACGATATCTAGGAAGTTCGAGATAGATACGTTTTAACATCTTACTGTTCATAGACAATTCCGGGATAAAGTGTTTATTTCTAGAGTATATACGTTTTGTTGTGTAGAATGTTAGTTGCACGGATTGGTCATTTACACATGGCCATACCAGATTATTTTATATTCAAATTTTACTGTTTAAACGTTCAAAAGTATTTTAACCAACTCTGTGTACCTCTAAAATTCTATTTATTCACTTTAACCTTAAATCACTTCTGTTCGCACTCTTGTTTTTTGTCAGTAAGGCTGCGTAACTATGATAATCGTCACTTTGTAATTATACATCACGGAAAATTAGGTTATGATTACCATGCGTTTATTTTGTTCAATATTGATACTTTGTTTGTTTGGTTGACTTACTGATCGTTGTAAATTTCAGTTTTGTTTATTGCTCTTGGTCTATCGGGAGTGGTTCCTTGTGTACATTATATTCTAATTGAAGATCTTCAGGAGGGTGTTCATTATTCTGCGCTTGGATGGCTTATTCTAATGGCTGTACTATATATATCGGGAGCTACGATTTATGCACTACGTATACCTGAGCGTCTTTATCCTGGTAAATTTGATATTTGGGTAAGTTATTTCATTCTGGTTTGTCGAATACATTCTTGTTCAAAGTAAACTATTTCAAAAAATATTATTAACTCAATTCATCCATAAATAAAAACCTTTACACTTGGCTTTTAATCGACATTGTACGTTTATAGTCCGATCATATTATTCACATTTAGCCTTCCACTGGTTTAATTATTAAGTATTTAGGTTACTTTTAATTGTTTATTTCATTTGAGTTTTTAGAAAACGTTAATATTAGGGAACTAAAGGTCCGGATTAAGACATGTTTTCGTACCAATAAGAAGCTAGTGGAAAGAAAATATAAGGGACTCATTCTATGTATTATAAGTTTCCGATTAATGCAAATAACTCCAACGTATTCTGTTCCACGCAGTTAGATATAGATTACGTTGTTAGTGTTTCCTCAATAACTGCGATCGGTGGTTGGAAATTTTAGTTAATATGACTCAAAATCGTTTAAAATTGAGCAGATACATTCGTTATTTATCTTCCTCTCGATTGTGAATCCTAATATCCCTCCTCATATGCGTCTCTACTCTGTTTTTCCGGATCATGTTCCTAATGTTTGATCTTCCTGATTATCATTGCTACTATATTATATTGATCTCTTTTGCTATTCATCATCTTAATTTCATCGCATGTTGATGTGTGATATGATAACTTGGGCGATCTCATATCTGTTAGACTCTGTGTCGATGATTGACTGGTTATTGATTTGGAGTTCTGTAGCTAGATCCTAACTCACAGTTTACATAAACTTCGTCACAGCACTTTTTAAAGTTGTGTATTGATTTCTTGATAATTTAATGATACAAGTTCAAAAGTACATTAAAACATTTTATGAAGCACAATCGATAGACCTGTTGTTCTTGTAAGTAATATGTTGATTTAAAATAAAATTCCATAGAATCTAACATATTAACACCGTTTTGAGTCAATTGCCAATGTTTATATCAAATAAATTCATTTCACCACTCACCATTTTAAATTTTGGTAAGCGAATAACAGCAGTTGTGGTGGAACAATATAAGTACATATGGAGCGGCAGCATAATGGTTACGAAGCTTGGCTTGTAGCCATTATGTCTCGAATTCGAACATCAGTCGACCTAATTCTGTTTGAACAATTGAGTAGTATCATTAACCCTCAAATCTAGAGTGTGGGTCATAACTGAGTACCCGGTGAAATTAATTGTGAGTTCATTTGATATCTAGGTTCTTTTAATGTTGTTACAAACTAAAATAAGTTTTAATTATTTGGAAAAGGAAAAAGACAAATGCAGCAAACTTGAAACAAAAAGATATGGAGGAATTGAAAACTGACTCATTATTATGTAAATATTGTGTTCTACGTTCAGAGCCATTTGTTGTACGTTTTTGTTCCTATGTAAAATGTAAACTAGGACTGGTTTCAAATCATACCAAATTTTTTGCATCTTTTAAATATGTTATTAGTTTCTAGCCACACCTATTTACAGGCTGTAACACTATGTCTATGCGAAGTAACATTTTATGCAAAAGCAGCAAACTGTGAACTATTTCCCTTGTAGTTATCTAATTGTTTTATTTATCAATCAACATTGTTTCATTGTTTTTGGCAATATTTAGGTTAGAGATTTATAAATGTCTGTTAAACCTGGAGGTAGATTTCTACTATGAACTGGTAATTTAATCGTAATTGAAGTTTGACATAAGCCTTATTGAAATTCGACTCAATAGTTTGAAGTTATCTTGCTTACCATGAGAAAAGTGAAGGCCTAAGGTTGAGTGCCGTGCATAGTTGTGAATGTGTACTACTTTAAAGGTGGTCCCAAAGAACAAAACATTTCCCTGGTTTTCATTAGCTTTTGATAGGTGATGTTAACTTAAAGTGGAAACTATGTCGGAGTCCTTAGTATTTGTTACTAATTGTAACTTTAAGTATTAGTTAATAATATCGATAAGACTATGGCATATATAGTGAAATCTTAGTTGTTTCATTTTTAGGTACGCACCGTGGCAGCCCGAATATACTTCTTTTGACAGTCTAAATATTTGCAATGAGATGATAGTAGTTGTTTTCTTTTGTGGTATTGTGAGATGTTTTAGCTAAAAGCTTTTTGCACTTAACTGTTAAGTTAGCGACATCAAGAGTTTGGTGGATAATTTTAGTAAATTTATTTAAATAGAGTAGTTCGAATGTTTAATAATTGTTTTAGGGTTTACATTAAACTTGGATAGTTGGAGCACATCTTACATGCTCTATATTAACACCTCTATTATGGTAAACTTCGCTGTCCAGTGTGATGTGACTGAATGTAAAAAGTGTAAGCTAACCTAAATATGGAGTAGCACATTTGTCTGTTGAAACCACTGATTATTCGTTTGACCTGTACAAAAAGATGCAGTATCACGTTTTACTGTACACTGTATTTAGTTTCCAAAACGTAATATTAGTAATTCCTCTGAAGTTACTACTTCAAATAACATCGTAGAATATATAATATTATGTGTTTGATTCCAGTTACTCTAAATTAACCCTTGTAATGTAAAAGAGAATATAAAGTTTTATTTTACTTCATTGTTAATTATCTTCATATTCAAACATGTCACTTCAATTTCATTAGAGAAAATGATAAATAAAGCAAAGCACTTTAATGTTTTGATCAGATTTTGTGTGGATTATTGTAGAGCTATTGAGTTATTCAGCCACATTCCTTCGGAATAGATCTATAGTTTCTAGACGGATTATGAAGTCGAATATGCAGCTCGTAAATAATGTTTGCAAGTTATATCTATAGTAATTATTTCAAGATAGTACGTTTCTTAACCTGGTCGGTGGCCTATTAGAATATGAATAGGGAAATATGGACAGGACTATTTTAAACTTATTTGGTAGATTTTCTCAACAAATCGTTTATTGTAAATGAATCTGTAATATCAAACTTTGAAAGCATGTTATCCTAGCCAAGAACTGTCAAGTTCATTACTGATTTTCTATTTTGGAAAATACTTTTATCGTTTTGTATATTTCACCCGGTTGTAGCTAATACCTTTTTGTGGTGGTTGGGATTGGTTCTGATGATCCAATATATCGATTGGAATATATGTTCCTTAAGGTTTTAACACGTCAGGGGTGTTGTTTAGAAGGTTGTAAGAACAAAAGCACTGGACCAGTGATCAGAGGGCAAAATCGCACTGTCGACTGTACAGAGAGTGATGGGAGTATGATTTTTTCTTCAGAAAACCTATATCTGCAAAGATTGTGGCTTCTACAACAGTGGCGGGAGGTTAGAAAGATTCGATCCAAATATAACACCCCAACTTACCCCGAAGACAACTGTTGTCTGTTTTAAGGCCTTCAAAGTATGGGGTTGACACACTAAAAACTACTTACGAAACGGCTATGCGTGACTGTCCTCAATCAATTGTCCCTTGGACAATGGGGATCACTCCTTACGTCTTAAATGCCATCGCTAATCCAGTTTCCTGTTTAGATCTCCGAAAAAGAAGAGTCTTATGGTGTAAGTAACCGGGAGTGATAGTGTCCTCATATCTTTAACAGCAAATTTGATGACTGACTCTCATGTATACCCTTTTTCAACTTTTCTTGATTATATTTTAGTATTATTTATACTGTTGTTATCATTATAGTGTCATTTTTTAAAAAGTTTTATTCTTCAATGTTTCCCTTTATATTTTCAGTTCCAAAGTCATCAAATATTTCATGTATTTGTTGTATTGGCTGCCTTAGTACACTTGAATGGCATTATGGAAATTGCTCAGCATCGATTAAGCAAAGGTGGTTGCGATAATCAACTGTAAATGTGCTAAAATATCCTCTCTTTATCCATTTCATTTTATGAATATTCTTACTTGTCCAGGACATTATCTACCATATTACTACTGTGTTTGTTCATGTAGGATATAATATAATCAGGACTGTGTACAGAAATGTAGATTTGTAATTGTTTTTTTTGCCTCGAATATACTAATCAAATATTCAATGGTTTCTTTAGACTTTCTTATATTTTATCGTGAATTATTTCATTCCAATGGCATTTTCAGAATATATCAAATAATTTATTTCTTATCTCTTTCTCTCCATTTCTGACACACACACACATACAATACCTATGCCTATTTATTCTAACGTAACCAATAAGTATGTTTTGTTACTTATTTATGCATATGACTACCTGTTTGTATACAGTTGTGCAGGTATGTAAAAAAGCGTTGTTTTCTCTGTTATTGTTTGCGGTTGTTTCGTTTCAGCAAGGAACAGGTCATTGTTATTATTATTATTTTAGAAGGTATTAGTTTAGTATTTTGCCTTTAATTTTCAATAAAGAATAAACTGTTTTGTTTTTGTTTTCATGAGTCCACCTTAATGAATAAACGACCGTGAAATTATTACTACTAAGGGAAATACGCACAACGGATATATATATATATATATATATATATATATATTCAATAGTTTTATTCAGCAAATATTCCTTATATTGGATTGAAACTTTTCTGTCTTTTAAAAGGGATAAATATTTCTTTCATTAGTGTTTTATGATCAATTCACACTGGTCTCATTTTTACATACATCAACCTCAATCTTAGAATAATGAGAAGACGCTTATTGTTCTATTTTTGTGCACGAAATTTTGGTCTAATCTAAAAAAACAGTCCTCAGGTTGTCTTGTGGTAGGCTTAAGGGATAGGATAGAATGTTTATTTCATGAAATCAACATTCGCCTACATTATCTGTACAAGTGTGCACTAATTCTGGCGGTCAGTATAAGTTTATGACAGAAAACTGTCGAACATTTTATTATTTGTGTTCACCACCCAGACGTTCAATTGGTCAATGCTATTATATATATATATATATATATATTGTGTGTGTGTGTGTGTAGACGTACAATCTCCTCACTACTGTCAATAACTGTTATAATAATAGTTGACCGATATTCAAACAATTGTTTATTTCCAAATGTCCTTGACATGATTATTACTGGTTTCTCAAAATACACTGAAAACACTACTAGTATCATTATTACTATTATCATTATCTATTTTAAAGTACGTATTTTCGGTAATCACGCCTGTTACAATTTCTCATATCAACTTCTGTTTTCGTGTTCATGTTTCACTTTGGAAGTATCGCTTTTTAAAAACAATGCTGTTCACGACCTTATTTTTCAGTGCCCATATCTTATAAAATATTAGAAATAAAATAAGCAAATGGATTGGAATTACACAACTTTTTGTTTTGTATGATGAATAGCTCAGGATTGATGTTAACTCAGTGTTTCATCAGTTAATATCGTAATAGAAGATGGTTTTTATTAGGAAAAGTTGCAAAGTTTTTAAGAATAACTGCTAGTTCCGCTGTACTGTTTAGCTGGATCTTCAACGAATTTCGAAAATGAATGGCATTTTACAGTTTCAGTGAGGTTATTATTCATTAATTCAAACGTATTTAAGTGTTTAATGTAATACTGCGTTTTAATATAATAAAGTACTGCTGGCTAGTTCGCACTTATTGTTCAGTTAAAATCAACTTTCACGATAATCTATCACTGTTCGGTCATTGTATTGCTATTGTCTTCGATTGTGGTTGTAACGTATACCTAATCCTGATGCACATATATCTCTTCTGGTCAATTGTTTTTGACTATCCAACACTATACATCATATTACTAGAATACTAAATTTGTAAACGGAATACACTCATTAAGTAGGACATTAAATAAGAAAGATTGGTTCAGCGAAGAGTTTTCTTTTTGACGAATTCATTTTCAAAGCTGTACAATCGCAAATATACATACTTATTTTTCAGGACGATATTGATTACAATAATAATGATGATAATGAACTGAAAAGATAAGTTTATATATTTACAAAATGTTTATCGATTTCTTTCGTTTCAGTCAATGTTCTATTTTTATTTTATGACGGTTATTAAACATTTGAATTCATACTGTCCTACTGAGTTTCAACTTCATAACTTTTTTCCCCTTGTTTTGTTCCCGATATGCTTATCAGGAATATAGTCACAGCCTTATACTGTAACGAACCGTCTGCATTGACTAACCTTCATTTACCCCGAGGACATAAATTTAGCGAGCCGTTTGTTTAGGTATTGATAAGTTTGCTAACTGAACATTCGATCCGATTTTCTAGCTGCTTTTAAAAACCCTAGAATTAATCTGTACTATAACCTGAACACAAGAGAAAAGGCATGAACACCGGTGATGATTTGTTCGACTGCTAAAATGAATCAAAACGATTTAGGAATACACTATGTTTTAAATGATTTGTTCACAGTTAGATTTTTCCAATTGAACTAAGTTACATTTGATAATAAGAGTTCTATAACTTACGATGTGAACAAATTTATCTTATTAAACAATTAAGCATATATAATCCTTCTTAAGATATGGATACATGTCGTATGATTGGAAAAAAGATCAATCTTTTTATGTCATTCTCATTGGAATTAACTAAGCTCTTACTCTTCATATCAGGTATCAGTTTCAAATTACAAATCTAGTGGCTCATTTATTTCGATATTCTTGAGTATTTGAATTATGCAACTAGTCTTTTTATAATGTTCCTAAGAATATTGATAGTGAGGAAGGCAGCTAAGTAAATCCAGTGCCTGTTCATTTCAAATTAGTACTGGACATTTCAATAGTACATTATCAATTCAATTTATTAAGCTTTTTGTTGAAGTGTTCTGTCTAATTTTTCTGATAGTTTATTCACAAATGTGCAGTCTAAGCGGTTAAACTACGTTGAAACTCAGTGATACTTAGAACGAATAAGTATTTGATTCATAACCTGATCGGTTATATGCTAATAAATGCTTCTAATTATGATTGTAGCTGATTTACGCTCTCTGGGTTGGTTGTATTAATTGATTTAGACAACAGCACCTGCTTTAAAGAGGAGTAAGATTTTTAACTAATCTTGATCAGATCGGTTTGTCTTAATGAACTTGTTTGTATGATAAGTAAACTGAAAAACGGAGATATTGTTCAAAACAAGGTAAAAGACAAAGATGATAGTGATTTATTCGACACGTAAAACTGATTAAAAAGTCTTATATGAATACCATGATACATAATTTACTTAAACCGGTTGGTAGTGGGATTATGGACAAATTAAACTGAAAACTACTTGTTATTAATTAATCAATAATTTAATTGATGAGTAGAATTTACTATATCATAATATTAAACCAGTACAATCAACAAATATAACGAATTTACTGAGTTATTTAATCATTCCTTCCTAACACCTATTCAGTAAAATCCTTGTGAATAGGTCTTTTATCGTAGATTAGTTTGTGATAAGTCGTTGGATTTTATAGCACCTTTCACTATTTGGGAAAAAAAGGTTCTGGGTCATGTTAATTTGAGCTTTCAACTGCTTTAGACATATTGCAAGGTTGAGTAAATTAACTGAGAACTGTTCTGGATCTTGTTACTAATCAACAGAGACTGGTCACTCGGTAAGTTCAAGAGTTAAATCAAAGTAACTGTAAAACTAGGATGTGAGTTATTTACATTAGAGACATAGGAGATCAACTAACTAGACTCTTTTGGTGTTTACACCATTTTCAAAATGACAGAACAAGAAAACAATGCATCTTATAAACATGTTAGCTAGTTAGAGGTATTTGAACGGAAACTCTGGAACTAGGTTTCTTGCTAGTTAGCACTCATCAGCAAGGTCTACCTAAAATCTCGAGGGAACCTTTGCTCCTTGATAATGGTCACTGATCAGTGATACATTGGTACAAATATGCTCGTCATTTCGGTGCCCATTCAATCCCAAATAGCTCATTTGAGAAACAGGAATTCACTTTTAAATAGCAATGTGTAAATAGAGTAAATGACTTCAGTTAGATTGTATCGGAAGAATATATTCAACACCATTGTTCTTCTCAATTGCTAAAAGGAAATTTTAGCTGAATTGTATGAAAGTATTGTAGATGTCGGACTATGATTGATGTAATGCTGTTGCTTGTCTTGTTTGGCCTGCAGTCCACATCCACTAGGGTTGAACGGGAATGATGTGACTGTCTAACATAAATAGTTCTACATCAAAGTCATGGCATCCAATGAACTCTTAGCCTGATCCAACTTAACCTGGTATCAAGGCCTTCCTACTTCAAAACATTTCAAGAACCGTTAAAGTTTTATTGGAAAGAATGTTATATACTCAACAGATCAAATTAAAGAAAGGTACTGTACATGAGGCGGCCATTATAATACATGTGTTCATTGTATAACACAGGACATCTTTGATCTTGACGAAATCCAGTGATCAGTCTTTAGAATTTGTTATACATTCAGCCTGACTGATAATTTGGGTAGGGTTCAGTATTATTTCTCTGACCCTATAATAAAAGAGTGTTTTATCAAATTTACTGTGATGAGTGATAAACTTTACATTGTCAATACAAATTCAAATGATGAGTATACTCTGATTCACAAAATTAGTGCATTGGTTAGTGTATTTTATAAGAATATAAGACATCGTAAGGTCAATCGATACCTTTTTAAAAAGATACAGTTGTTTACTATTACTAATGAAAAATTGAACCCATTCAGATAATGAGAATTTTATTTCTAAAATATAAAAAATAATTATTCTCATGATTAATTACCATACCAGTAATTGAGTTAAGTATCATATGAGTTTAATTCTTCTAACATTTACGTGATAAATTATAATTTGAGTTGTTCAAGTAATTCTTTTTTTAAGAATCGATAAGAGTATACACTGTAGTAACAGGATACAGTGTTGCTTGTTAAGAGTAACAGTGAAACAATTTGAAGATAGTTTGATACATGAATTAATAACATGATGTACTAAAACTTTGTTGGGATAAACGAAATTACACTGCATTTGTAAAATGTGAAAACGATACATTCAGTAAACCATTTGCACATCTTCCTTGGATTGTCATTTACAAGTTCCGTTACTCATTCCTCTCTGATACTACTAAAACTGTTTTGCTCCTTCTCTCTTTTCTCTTCATTTTCCTTTTCTGTCAGTAAGAATACTACTTCCAATTCTTAATGCATACTGCTTATATCTGTCCATATAAGTGGCACGCACTACAGTATGCGTTGGATGGCATTTGCTGAGGAATCCAGTTGCTACAACGAAACGCATTAAGGATTCTTTATTAGTTAATATAAGTTTGTAAAAAAGACTATGTTAAAGCTGACTGAGTGTTCATCAAAAAATTAATTCAAAGAAAATCAGTGATTATAAGATTAACAACACAATTTTACTTGTTTGCCTATATTCATGTTTTTTCGATGTAAGTGCATAACTTCACTACACTCAGT